GAGCTCAATCGATCCCTCTCTGGGTTCCAAAGGTAGAAATATTAAATGACCCTTCTCTGGGACTTCTAGTGTTAATGGCTGAATCATAATGAGACATTTAAATGATTCAGCTGCAGCTGTCTTCTGTTAGTTCCTCTGTTAGTTCTTCTGTTAGTTCTTGTTTTTCTTCACTAATCAAAGCGTCAGATGATCGTCCTCTTCTCTCTGATCCTTCCATTATTCCTGTTTCAGTAACAGCGCTGACAGCTTTTCATGTGACCACTTCTAAAGTGTCTGCTGCTCTCTGTCTGGGAAATCTGCCCCAATTCACCAATTAATTTGTTTGTTTTTTTTCATTAAGAGAGTCCTGATTAAAGCTGAAGGCGTGTTCACTGCTGACTCGTACAAGAAGAGACTTTGCTGTGACCTCACAACACACTTTGATTTGTACCTGAAGACAAATACAACCTGCAGCTGCTTGGCAACAGCCGAGGATTCAAGGCTGTTTTTATCATTTCTGCCTGGAATAAAACCACTTTTCACGCTCGCAGCAGGTTTCTACAAGGATTCTTTTCCTTCAAGGTCACAGGCTGAATCAGTTCTTTTTCTTTCTTTTTTATGTAAAACAAATTTTGAAATGTTCGCAGCTTTCTTGAATAAATTAAAATATGAATAAATATCAAATATGTCGCGTTTCACAAAGGTTTTTTTTTATGAAAAACCAGTTAAACCAGTCATCACCAGAGAACAGCACATCTGTCGCAAGAATACAAAACAAAACAAAAAACATTGTGTCTTACAGTTACTAAAACATTTAAATTAGAGCTGAAAGTGAAACTCTCAGAGATAAATCCCTGGCTGCACAACTAAGATTTATTGACATCTGCAGTTAATCCATTTAAAAATGGCCGCCACAGCTAGTTGACATTAGTCGACACTCAAGTGGCTCAAACTCAGTCAGTTTTAAGGATGCTGAGCTAAAATTTGGTGTGGTAGTAGCTGAGAGTCATCAATGCCAGGTCTGTAAATATAATCAACAAATTAATGGCAATCATCTTGTAAAGTTTTGTTTTTTATGTGCAGTTGTTTCATAGGAAAAAAGAAAATAATAATTTTGCAGAGTGACTTCATCATGAGTCTAATCCCCGCATCGAGCCGAGGATGATGAAGAAGAAGTAGTTTAGTTATTTTTGGTTTCAAGTGTCCAAACGTGACACCGATGACTCAGCACGTTTCCACCTTCAGGATGAGTTCTGTAAAAGGTGCTGTGTCACTCTGCACATGCACGAACACACGGCCCTGAGGCACACATGTTGCCGTCACATCCCGGGCTGACGCAGCGGGCCTTATGTTCAGATACGTGCAGAGGGGGCTCGGTCACGCTCTCGTGGATCGCAGCGGGCTTTAGGAAGCGTGAGGTCTGTGGAGGAGCGCACCAACACATCGCCTCGAGGCTGCGTCAGTAAAGGGGTTCCACACCTCGCCGGTGTGGGAACACTGGGAGCAGGGTGTGTCGTCGGGAGGGGGTCATCCACTCTGTATGTGCTGAAGGACGTAGATGGAGGCGGCCTCAGAACTGATATGATGCTTAAAACTGTACAGTGCAGAAGTTTTAAACCACTTCTTATAATGGGGTCTCCTGTCAGTCTGACAGACCTGAAGCCCCTCAGTCCAGGAGGCATCCAGACTCTGCTCCCAGTCTCTCCTGGATCACTGCACCTCTCACCCTGTCTCACTAGCTAAGTTTCCATTCACCATGAAAATGCACAAATTAGAATTTTGAAAATAAATTTGCTCAATGGAAACACGTCAATTTAAAAAAATTACGTTTTTCAACAAAATGTTTTTGCACTAGGATGAGGTGGTTTTTTCAGCCGTGTTGAAATTGGTGTTTTTCGCAAAACTGCAATGGAAACACTTTTTCCGCATCACAGG